CGATGCACCTCAGCCGTTGACCGCAGAAGCGACCCTGCAAAAAAAGAACTAGCTGAAGTACTGAACTATGTCCAAACGTCCCACTCCCTAGACCTCTTCCCTATTCACCGCCACTTTTTCAACGGTCTGGATAGCACCTTAAAGGGGAAATGCTACGAAATCTAACATGATGGTGAAACGACCTTCGCCGAGTTCATCGCCTCTAGAACTCCAGTACTTCCAGTGAACGGATTGATCAAACACATGAATGTTCGCAAGGAAGAGTAGATCCAACGGTTTTTATTGCGATCGAAAACGTTGCGTTTGAGTCGAGATATGCACATTTGAACTTCAATGTCCGAAACGGCCAGAACTTTCCTTACAACCTAATATTTACCTGATCCTATCCTTCCATGCCTATTTTGAGCTTGAAAAAGAGAATCATGCAAATCTGAACTTATGGAAGAAGAAAGGCTTTACCAGAAAACTCAGAATATCTTCTTCAGGTACCCAAAACATATTTGGGCATGCTGGTTGGGTCAGTATGCGCCCTGATGGGAGTGTTAACTATTGCTCTACCTGTACCGGTTATCGTATCCAACTTTGCTATGTTCTATTCACATGCACAAGCCAGGTATGCTCTCAAAACAACTTGCGCGTGCGTCATCGCCCTCTGCTCGACATGTGCCGCGCTGCTGGCTGAATCGGTTTCAATGTTTTTTGAAGAGCTCCCAAAGATATCTTCAGATCAAAACTGCCAAAAAAGCGTCGACGTGTATTACAACCCCACGAAATCAAACCTATTGTTGGTCGATCAACGACAGCTGTTCTGTTGAATTCTCTGGGCCCGAAACCGACTGGTGTGGCGAATATAAGTGACGGAATTGGTAAGCTCTTCTGATTTCTTGCTACGCATTTATGTACAATGTCACTACTTCTTTTGTACATTCTGTGCACTGGATTGACCAGCCAGTTCAATGCCACGCTCTCCTTAATTTTATCTTCAATGTCACTTTTATTGTACATTCTGTGCACTAGATTGACCAGGCAGTTCAACGCGAAGCTACCTTAACTTTACCCTTCTCTAGAATCTCATTTTCATTTAGAATTTGTCCATCACAAGGCCTTCAGAACAGCTTCGAAAGTTCCCCTAGGTAGCACGTAAGAGTCGCAAGGAAAAATTCTCAGCAGTGACGTCGTTTTTTGATATTTTCTGCTACGATTATCTGGTCTTGCGAATATTTACCTCGGACCTGATCAAGGATTTCCTAGTGATCTACGAAAGTCGAGGAACTTCCGTGCATCATTACGAGCCCTTCGTTTTCCGATGCGCCAGTCGGATGGGTGCTCCATAGTCAGAGCCTCCGTTTACGTGGAAATTTTCTTCTGATGCCTTCGGCGAAGAAAGCTGTTATGAGGCTTTTGACAGATTGGATTGCTCTTCGATTTTCAGTTAGGAGCGTTTGATGTAGTGCAAATGTTTATTTGGTAGAGCAGTTCAGTGGATGTGCTTGAGTTATTTCAGGATTCAGTCGCCAACGGAATTGCAAAGTTTTTCTTTAAGTAGCAAATAGACTGACCTCGGTCCGCAAACTCAAAAATTTGATGCCGGTGCTCTCATCATCACGAACTCAATGGGGATTAGTAGAGAGAAGATAAGACGCGCTGCTGGCACGTTGTATAAGCAATATCAACGAGAGAATTATGAAATAAAGTGAAAACTATAAGGGTGAAAAGTTTTAAGAACAATCACCCTGACAAGTTCTTCCTTAGAACCGTCCTGAGAAGAAAAAGGGCTGCCAGGCTTGAATTATTCGGACCGTTACGTATGTGTTTCGCTAGGTCGCGTTCATATGAAACCATGCGAGTCGGGTGACGCACAAGGGACTACAAGTGTGAGAAGTGTGAAAACTTAAAAAATCTTCTCCTGGAAGTGAGCTTCCATAAACCCGTCGTCTCGCAGCGTCAAATAACCTGTTCGGCACGACCGGCCTTCCACTGTGTTCTGATTAACTGAACGTCGTACAACGCAGTTTGTCAGGAACGTCTGAAACACAACAATGTTTGAGTTCTTCACGGCGGGACGTCCACAAGTCGTGATGGGGGTTCGAGAATATAGACTGTCCTTCAAGCGTTTTGAAAATGAGAGCTAGAAGGCTACAACTCATTTTGAATCGCTGAGCATCGTCTCCATACCAGAAAACTGACCATCAACGTTGGCTCGAGAACAATACCGCTCGTTTTTTGAGCAATTCGCAAGCAGATTATCCATGCATTCAGCATGGATAAATCTCCTAAGCGTTGAGAACAGGTTGTGCACACCAACGAAGAATTTGAATACTATGGTTGACTTTAATTGGTGAACAAAAATGGGTAGAAATATAGCAATATTCCAAAAATTGTTAACCTAATGAATGATCCAATTCTACCATTTTTGCAACTAGAGGATCGAATAGATCGAGAAGTTGCAGAAGTGATAGTTCTTTTAGTTCTTCGAGTAACATCATATAGAAGATAATGTAATTAACTCCATTCTGCTCGAAATAGAAGTAATCCAATAGGGTGTCCTGCAGTTGACCAGCTTTGTTTCTTCTTCAGGGAGCCTTTCAAATTCAAGGAAGTCCTTCATCCCTTCCGAAGATGAATCAAAATGAAAACTCGGGTAATCCCGTAAGTAGAGCTGTTGCGTGTTATGAACCCACACATATGTATTCTAACGATTTGGAGCATTTGATGAATACCTGGTGTTTTCACAACCCTCGCTAACGTCAATACCGTTTTCTTTTAATTTGATAGAACCAGTCATTGTGATTTGATAGCGCTCATGTGCTACGGTAACATTTAACTATTTTAAAGTTCAGGAAACGACAGCTCTTCACGACGGCCAAGCTATACCTAAAACTACATCAAAGATTACACACTCGTGTCACTAACATCCATTCTGTTCGAATTTCTTCTAACCGCATGATTTTACGTATATTTTCAGGAGCTTTCGCGGCCACACCACTTTTAGTGTGTCCTAATCCATGCAAGAACATACGAAAAAGTCCCTCGCTAAACGAAGTGAACAAAGTTTCATAGTGAATACCTTTATCGTCCATAACATTCGGAACTCTAGAGAACTAAGGTTGTTGGTCTCTTTTCTGGAAAGATCTTAACGAAACGAAAGATACTCCGAAGAGATGCCAGATCAGCTGTACTAGTGTATGGCAAACTGTAATTTACACTGCCAACTTCAAAAAGCATTGGAGTGCATGAAAAATCTTAGTTCACTCAACACAAGGAGTTTGTGTCACGTTTGCATGAGCATGTTCATATTACTCGTTCAAATGATCCTTTCTTTGACCCACCTCCTACTTTGCCAACCTAACAAGGGAGGTCTTTCAGGGCAAGGTGCGCTTTTTCAAAACGGTTTTGTGCATATTGTAGGGACGCATGTAGGGAACGCAAAACCATGTTTCATTTTCGCTGAACGGTTTAGCAGTACCAAAAAAGAAGCATAAGGTACTGTTAAGGGTTCGATCCCCGTGGCGACTAAATTTTGCATTTGGGTTGGCGCCTACGGTTTGGTGCCAAATCGCGCTAAATATCAAAATCAGATGTCAAATTCATCGTCAGGACCATTTTGAAGCCAACAAGTGGCCGCCAACCTTGATTGCAAAATTTAGTCGCCGCGGGGATTGAACCATCAAGAGTATTATTCACCACTTTTTGGTACTACTAAAACCGTTCAGCGAAAACGAAACATGGTTTTGTGGTCCATACATGCGTCCCTACAACATGTACTAAACCGTTTCCAGAAAGCGTATATTTCTTCTGAATTGTAAATGAATGTATGCTAAGTTATTGTTTGTCTGTGTTATAATCGGTTCATGTTGTTTCCGGTTCTGGCGAAAGGTTTGTGAATCTGGCATGCGTAATATGCATTTATGCATGTATACCGGTGATACACCGAGTTGTTGTCATTCTACTGTTCACAGTGTTTTGGTGTATGTGTTCCTACCTTCTTCCTTCTCAATCAGTGATGTTCACATGATTCAGTGGGAATTCTAATCAAAATCTGAAACACTGTAATATTCTTATACATTAATTAGCATTGAGCTATCGAGTGTGTAAACATTTCAATGAATGGATGGTGTATTGTTCTCTCAATTAGCACTCTAGAGGAACGATAAACGGGTTGAACACTAGCTATTCCTTCACTGGAAGGCTCTCTGGAAGTCTCACCGTGGGTTGACGACCTCCTCCCACACTCCACATACATATAGGCCAGTCACACTCGTCCAAATCGGCGGAACGGAAATTGATAATAATGAGCAGTGATCGTAATATTTTCTAATATCCATTTAGCAGGGTCAAGCGTGCGTTGAGGAATCCTCGACACGTCGCAGGGGGGGGGGTCGTATTGGCCCGCTGGGAAGAGATCGAGCCATTTTGATGCAGTGGGATCATCACCGTCGGAAGACAAATATCAAGGATGAGTCGATGCCAGGCCAGAGGATTTCCAATGAAAATGATATTTCACCCACACAAAATTTTCGTGATTCTGAGGCGTCCGGTAATTCTTAGTTACTTCATTTATCACCACACAAGTTAAAGAATCTGAATTTCGCACGCTTTCCAAGAGATATTTCATCTTTCAAGTAAGACCCCGAATCTGAAGGGATGTGAGGTACACGGCGCATCCGAGAAAGGGTCTAGTTGTTGCGCGCGCTTCAACTACGGCTCCTTGGACAAACAACCTCAATTCAGGAACAATCGAGAGAATTCTGAAAGTGTCCGTGCGCATTTACAGGGAGGTGTACACCATTCAACACTGCGTTAACGGACTCTTCAGGGTTAAATTTATAAACATGTAACCTTTAAAGTTGAGAAACGCTAATCAATCACTTTTCTTAGAAAGAGAAAAGCAGTGATTCCAAATCTGCTCTTACTTTAGTACATAATCGCCCTTAAAAGGATATACAGCCGTTGAAATAGTGCCAATGTAGCGAAAAAGTACCTTTCGGCGGTACTCGTGCAAAATCCTCAACGTAGCCGTTTTTTTAATACTGGACGTTTGGAGCAGTTCTAGTAAGCATTTGATAGAGCAAATCTTCTAGTTTATGATGGCGTATTTACTTTTCGGATTGGATGAGTTTGAACGGAGTTATGGCTTTAGGAAGTAAAAAAACTCGCACTCATCACAAATTTTCCTCGTTAATTTTGCAAAATCCTCAACGTGGCCATTTTTTGAATACTGGACGTATAGAAGCTGCTTTAGCAACCGTTTGATAGAGAAAATCTTCTAGTTTTGTATGACGTATCAACTTTTCGAATTTGACGAAAATGAAGCAAGTTGTTGCTTCGGAAAGTGTAAAAACTCGTGCTCATCTCGAAATTTTCCTCGTTAATTAACCTAAATTTGTTATTTCTTATAACTTTTTGTAATTTCTATACTGATTAGAAAAAGCTCTTCACAAAACTTCCAAATCTACTTTCAGATTGAAAATTCGTCATATTTGAAGAAAGTTATAATCATTTGAATATTTGTTCAAATTTCAATAGTAAATAAGCTGCTCCACGGTCAACGCCAAAGTCCAGTCAACACTCAGTTGGCGAAGGCGGTTTGAACAGAACTTCAACTGAAGGGCTACGTGCAAATTGAGAACCACAATCTGTGTAGTACTAGAATTTGGTAAGTCTTGTGGAGGAAATAAATAAAGAACAGATGTTGTCATAGTATGCCATTTTTAGTGGCTAGTTTGTCGTTTTCTGGTCTGTTTCTCGTTTGCTCGTTTGGTAGGACTCATCAATAATGATCATTCTTTGACTTTTTCACTTTTGTACTTCTTAAACGAATTTTTTTGTGGACGGTGGGGTAGCAGGGCTTTTTTATGAGCAGTTTTGGGGAGAATTAAACAAGCTTTTTTTCATAGTTCGGCTTTTGAAGAGGGTTGTTTCATGGACTTCGGCCTCCGGCGGAGGGTGGTGGGGGGGGGGGGTCGTATTTCCAAATTTTCCTCAACGCCTCGCTTGACCCTGGTTTAGGGTACCCGTCATGTAACGCTTGATGGCAGGTACGGTCAGCGAAGTACGTGACTACTT